GCAAAACAATCATTACCAAAACTTCAAACCGATCAAGGAGAAAAAAAGGGGACTAAGAAGATCTCAGCTCGGTTTCTTTACCTTCCCCTTCTCCAAGCTGGTGCCATGTATGGGGACTTCAGAGAGAGTCTGGAATGATTATGTTGGAATAAATCATAGACAAAATTATTTTAGAGGGAAACAGATCTCTGATGACAGTTCTGGTTATTCTTTTCACGTATGGGCTCCTAGTCAGCAGATTTTAATTGGTGGAAAAAACAGAAAATAGTTAAAATGGGCAAATCACTTTCATTTCACCTGAGAATGGTTTCATAAAAATGATATTGGTAACAAGAATAATTTCTCTCCATATACTTATTTTGTGCTCCATTCTACAAGCTATATTGCTGGTTATGTCAACGAGACCGCTTGGGATAACGCTGTAAGCTGAATCAGTGGAGAGAATTGGATGGGGGAAGGAAGGGAGGAAACAGCTGTTTTTTTTTTTTTTTAAAAAAAAAAAAAAGAAAGCTGCACAGTGAATAGCAAATTGTAGGTATCATAAATACGATATTTCATTCAAAACAACATGTATCGTTGCTATCTAAGCCCTTTTCCAGTCAATTTATTTTTCCTTGAAGACTTTTTTCAGGAGGGTGTGAGATTCTGACATGGTAAACAATATCAAACTGCCATGCAGATGGAATGAGGGAAGACTCCAAAGGCAGCGAATGGAATTCCTTGAGGTGAGAATACCTAGTGAGGCATGGAAAGGCAGGAAGCCTATCCAAGCCAGTAGGCTTTTCACCACAGGAAATAAGAAATTTCCTCTAAAGAGGGAAAAAAAAAAGGAAAAAAAAACACCCAAAACAAACAAAACAAAACAGAAAACAGAGGAACAGAAGAAATTTCCACAGCAGCACCCGCAGAAAAAGCGCATTTTTTTCTCTGGTTGCTTCTGAGTAACAGTACCCAAGATGCAGGAGCGGTGTGCACCCCTGCTGCCGACAAAGGATGTCATCCTGTGCTTTTCCCTAGGTAGCTTGATGGCATCTCCTCCCAGGCATGATAAATCAGGAGCTGCCACAACCTCTCCACAGAGGAGCTCAGATATCTTTGAATTACCCAGTGAGACCTATGAAGAAACGAGTAGGTCCCTGAGCCCAGCATCACATACTGAGGCTGGCAAAGATGACACACCTACTTCTGGTTACTTGAGAGGAAGGAAAAAAAGAAGGAAAAAAGAAGGAAAAAAGGAAGGAAAAAAGAAGGAAAAAAGAGTTTTCTGTTTTAAAGTATTTTTAAAACGGATTTCTAATTAAGATAGAAATATTGAGAAAAAGAAATTACACAATTACATTTCAAACATGAAAAGTGAAATGAGGAAATTAATTCAATAACATTCCTTAATATTGGATTCCAAAAAAAAAAAAGTTCACTTAATAAGAAAAAAATGATTTTTCAGTCTTGTTATAATGAAAAATTACATTTTCAAAAAACATTTTCTAATTTATCTAGGTCATTAATGTGAGAAACATATTTATAAAAACATTCCAAAAAAGTTAAGTTTTGAAATTCAAGTTTCTTAAAAAATGTGTGTTCAAATAAAAACTTTTTTTAAAAAAAGATGATGAGTGTTTTGTAATAAAAGCAATATTCAGACACAGTGTTGTCAGGAAATTGTGCAACATTTTCCAGACATAAAAATATTTTTTCTTAATCAAAAAACTAAAGCAAATATGCAATTCTATTTTTTTTGGATTTCAACATTTATTACCATTTTTTCCTCTTTCAGCTCCCAAAGACAAAGTGTTGAGGACTTCATACCGTATTTCCTTAAGCCTTTTCATTCATAGAAGTAACAAAACAATAGCATCCCTATTCATGTTAGTTGCCAAAGAGAATTATTCAATGTATGCTAGCAGACACACAGTCTGAAATGGCTAGTGCTGAAGAAAACAACCATAATCATAAAATCGTCAGAATTATGCTGACCTTCAGATCCAACAGTAATACTGTAATCTAAAAACACACTAGCAGGAAGTTAATTTCTACTGTACTGTGAAAAACAAGGAACAGAATTTAAAGCTATCCCATGTACGGATCCAAAGCTGAAAGCTTAAATCTTTGCAAAAATCTACCTGCTCAGAAGAGCAACAACTTTGCAGTATGTGCCTGGGCAGCTCTGTAACTGTAGCACCCTCTGCTGCTTTTTCAGTTCCAAAACATGTCATTTTACACTCAACTAAGTAGAAAATAAAATTAACACATACTGAACATGTTGTTTCAAGTAAGGAAATGGTTACATTATTAACTAATGCTATGTGAAGTTTACAAGATGTTTTTTGTTATTCCACATAGTAGATTTACAACTTTATAGTATAAAAGAAGATTGAAATCAGTTACTTAAGTTTCTGTATTAACACGGTACATATTAGATGAAAACCTCAAAACACTTTTTATTTCCTTGCTTAAAAATTTGGCTTTACAAATACCCTGTAGCTTGCTTAGACTTGTGGCAAGTGGTAAGGAAGATTATAATTTGGCCCTTGATCATTTCACTCAAGTATAAACATAATCTGAAATGATTACTGCAGGGATACAATTATATCAGCATTTCAGTCTGCATTTCGGTCTGCTTTCAGAACTGCTTCCTCCCAGTAGTGAAAAGCAGAAGCTGACGTTTACAAAAGATCATTTTTGGAGAAATTCCCTGCTTCGGGACAGCATTTTGCACAGGAGGGTCTTCTGCAAGGACGGACACGGCACGAGGCTCCCCAGGCCGGCTGACGTTACCCACAGAGCCACCACCAACCTCTGCCTGGGCCCTAGCAGAGCTTTTAAAAGGGCATGAGCGGAGATGGTCTTAGGACATACCGTCCTTTTAACAGATCACATACACATACTCCTGTCTAAAATGAACACATAGATTCCGAACTCCATTCTGGCTGTCTTTCTCCTGCCTCCACACAACTCTAGCAGCTGAAGGCCAGAGCACTCTGCATTGCATCCTTCCATGTGAATAATTCATTTGGAGTTCTCGTATGCGAACCGCTTCGTCACAAAAGCTGAATAAAATACATATCCAAACATTTTCACATGTTTATGGGAAGTGAAAACTAATTCTGGTTTGTGGTTTAACTTTTTTCATGTCATTGTAGCCATCTTACAAAGAAAATGCATCTTTTGACCTATTTTTGGAAAAGACAGAATTTAAATTCAGGCACCAGGTTTGAACAAAAATTTGTACAGAGGCAATTTCCAGAGTTAACACTTCAGAACCTTGGAGACATGATTTACTGCTACAACAGTTATTTCCATTTCTGCCCCGAAGTCCTACTGGTACAAAGCTACACTTTTGTAAGCAGTCACAAGTATTCCTCCAAAGCTGCTCATTGATATTTTATATAATGCTGCCAGCTAGTGGCACATCTTGTACTGAGTTTATGTCTATGGAGAATATACAGGAAGTGGTATTAACCAGAATCTGCTCTACCAAGCATCTTTTGATTGTGCATGGTAATGCAGCTGTTGAAGGACTGTATGCAAAAAGATCAAAAGTGAAGCATGAAAACCAAGAAATGCTCTCTGAAAGAGCTTGCTTTAATACCAGGTAGTTAGGATTACTACTGGAAGAGGCCACAACAAACATCTATCTTATTTGAGACCAATGATTCTGTTTACAAATTTTATACTATGTAATTTGTCTGCTTTTACAAAAGATTATCTCTCCAACCATTTAATACACATATATTTCATAATCTAATAATCTGCATCACAACATTTTTCTTCTCTATAAATATCCAAATGCGGGAGCCAAAATAAACATGCAGAACATTAAGTTGTTTATTATTTTTAGTAGGGAATGTCATTCCCTTGGATAGTCATATAGCCCTTAGATATTAGTTTAATCAAATCCAAGAACACTCATTCCTGTTAGACAACAGTCCAAGAATATATTTTGAAAAACATGTCTTTAACAAACTGACTTTTTTTTTTTTTAGTATTAAAATGCCAGTGTTTACTGAAACTTAACTTTAGATTACAAGGACTGGAGTTGGAGAAGAAACCTTCAATTTCAGAACTGGCTTTATGCCATAGCTTTGACAGGGAGGAAGATATAGATTTCTTGTGTATTTGTCAAGCTTTCAGAGATCCCCAGCTTTATTCTTCACGTTTGGCCATTTGAAAACAAACCAACCAACATGAGAAATACGGTAGGAATTATCAAACAAACATTACACGTGCACATATACACATGCATCTATAAATGTAAACTATATAATAGGAATTACTCATTACATCAAACATATGTCATCATTTCTGCTTGGTTTCTTCTCCACGATCTACCACAGTTTTATAATTAAAGCCCACCAATAGTGTAGAACATTTTATTCATAAATATACTTCATAGCTAGGAATTAAAGCCCTACTGGGTCAGACACTGAAGGTCACTGACGATTTGTCTTCTCTTAGGCTAATGTAGCCAGCAAGCAATGCCTAGGTAGGACAGAAGACTAAGAAAGGCATAGTTTCGGAACACATGTGATCTTCTAATTTCCAAAGCATTCTGTGGCAAGTAGTCTCACAACTTGACTCCACGTTTTCTTTTGTTCTTTTCTTTTTTTGAGCCTGTCCTCTCCAAGCTAGAAGTATCACTGGATGCTTCCCCTGTTCTTACACTGTTTCTTGGATAACCTCTGATAACCACTGTCTGAGTTGAATCAATAGATTAAACTGATTTTTGTCCAACCCAATTCAGTTGCTCTCATGTTTCCACTACAGTTAAAAAATCAAAAATAAATAAGCTGCTCTGAGAAACTTGCAGGTGTATCCACACACAGAATTCTGCTACATAAAACAGTCTTAACATATTAAACACTACAATAGGTAAATGCATATTTCTGATGACAGCAGTGGTGTTTCTCAGATGGCACTGAAAGCTCATAGAATAATATTTTATATTGACACGATTAGTCTTCTGTCAACACAGTACTGTATTTAAATAATCAATGACTTACAGACATTCCCTGTGTTGTCAAAACTGGTAAGAACATCTTCAACATTTAAAACTCCATTGTGAAATCTAAAAGACAAGAAAATAATAATTTTACCACCATATAAATAATCAAAAACTGTCTTCCCTCTTCAGAAGAGAGGTTCATGGCTTATGTTCATGTATCACAACCCCCCTTCAAAGACATGTAATGAACTGCTATTATTTTAGCCACCAGGGGGAAAAGAACTGAGACAACAAGTCTTCAAAAAATCCATGACTGAAAAGTCACAAACATAGAGATTGTTCTCTAAGAAGTTTATGCTTTATTTCTCAAAAAAAAAATCTCAAAAAGAAGAATTTCATGCATAGTTAGGGAAAGCACATATAGTAAAGAAGTAATTTTGGAAAAGCCAGTTCTTTTAAAGGAAAAACAAAAGCCTGTATTTTGAACAACTGTACAAACATCCCTATTCCCTCCCACAAAATCAGTAACGTTCCATTTAATGAATGTGAATAATGAAACTGATTAATGTGTTCAGTGAACTGCATTTGTCTTGGTTTTACATTTGCATAACTCAAGTGACATAAACATTCAAAAACCTGGGATAAATAATGAATTAATTGAATTTCACACACCACATTTAAACTTCAGAACAGAGCCTGCAAATTACTGACTGCTGCAAAAAGAACATGCTGCAAAGTTCAATTAAAAATTGTCTAAGATGCTGTCTGTATTCATGAAAATGTTACCGATAGCAGGCTAGCTGTAATTACACACAAAAGAGAAAAAGTGCAAATAAAGGTTTTTATTAAGTATTACAAGCTAATCTGGTCTCAAGACAAACAAAATAAAGAAGTTGCATCCTTGGCTAGCCATTAGATCATGTAGTTGTTTCATGAATTAATTAAAAATTCTAAAAAGAATTCAGCAAGGCAGTAAAGTACCAAGATGTAGCCTTCAATAATGTTAAAAACATGGCTTCCATGGCTGCTTGGGAACATATTAATCTGGAACATTTGAAAAAAAAAAAAGTGGAAGGCATTTGTTCCTTTTGTAAATGACAGTTCTGGCATTTACAAAGTAGTTCCATTCCTTTATTTTCTGAAGAAAGACTGACACAATAAGACAAAATTTTTATTTTTTGCAAACATAAAAATGTAAACTTAGAGTGCAAAAAGACATTTATATTTTCTGAAAAGCACAAATATTAAAAAAGAGAAGCATTTAAATATTAATTTTTGTTAAGTTAAACAAACAGCAACAAGGTAAGCTCTTAAAAAAATGAAATGAGGTCAACAGGAATTGAAATGGGGGCATTAATAAGGTCAAGAAAATATATCGGAGAGAATAAAAGCAACATTCAATGGGATCATTATAGCTTTTCATCATCTACATAAAAACAAACCAAAAACTCAATCCTTAGTTGTTCCAGAGGGTGAAAGCCTGTAAAATTTTTGATAAATCATTTTGACTAAGAATGCAATTTGGGGAAGGGAGGAAGTTTGTTTCCAATAAGATGTGCCAACCCATGCAATTAAACCGGTTGTTGAACAGTCACTAGAGCTAACGCAAGAAAAGTGAGAGGAAAGTGGGTAAGATCAGTAGCAGAGATCTGACCAGTTCTGCAAGCGAGAGCTGCTCTCCAAATTGTCCCCTGCTGGCTCCTTAGCATCCTCCTAACATCATTACCATGCATCTCTCTAGCATAGCGAGGGGCTCTTGAATGGCTTAAAATGTCTTATCTCTAAATGAAAGAAAAATTGAGGGAGGAAAAGAGTTGCAAAGAAATCAAAACCAGTATTTTGATCTTTGTTCACATATAGAATAGTCCCGAACAAGACATTATTTCATTTTTTTCTGATTTCTAGGTGCACGCAGTGCATATACAAAGCAGACTTATCATGCAAATCTCCAATCAAAACAAAGATGAAGATGAACAATTTAGCACTCCAATGCCTGTAGTTCAACCAAGTGCTATGAAGAAAGAAAAATTGAAAGAAACAGCGGATCCAGGTCTAAAAAAGAATACAATTTATACGTTCCAGAGACATAAAAAAGACAAAGGCAAAAAGAAAAAAGTGATACAAATTTAATACTACCTTTAAAATTATTACTTAACCAAATTTCAGGCTGTTTCCCAAACAATCCTTTGTAACTGGAGAAGACAAGTTGATAACTTTGAGTATCTCAGCTTCAAGTAAAAGCTAAGATTCCATAACAGATATATGCCACACATTTGCCATATGCCACAACACATACATGTCGTTGAGGTTGTCCTGAATTTTTGTTAATGCGTTATTTAAGTCAAGGAAATTTTTCCATCTACACGGATTATACACTCAATTTTTGTTAAGGATCAGTTCTCCTTCTGATTATAAAACATTCTGCGCAAAAATAAAATCACTATGCACACAAATTTTACAACACATTCTTACATTTATTATTGAATGGCTAGAAGCTTCCAGCCTCCAAGCACAAGCAGGAGACAAGCCTGTGAAGGGGCCAGAGCACAGACCTTGTGAGGAGCAGCTGAGGGAGCTGGCGTTATTTAGTCTGGAGAAGAGGAGGTTTCAGGGAGACCTTCTCGCTCTCTACAACTACGTGAAAGGAGGCTGTAGTGAGATGGGCGTTGATCTCTTCTCCAGAATAACTACCGATAGGACAAGAAGAAAGAGCCTCAAGCTGCGCCACGGGAGGTTCAGGTTAGATGTTGGGAAGAATTTCTACATGGAAAG